AATCATAAGTTCTTCTGGTTGATTAGTCATGGTTTTTGTTTTACTATAATTCATGTAGATATATTATGTGTTTTTGTGTGTATGTATGTGTATATTCCTCAATGCATCGAAGTACATTGCTCCGGATTGGGCGAGAACAGATATTTTGATGATCAATTAGGGGACATACTCGATAGGGGAGATATTCAAACAAAAGTTATAAGAATAATCTTTTCCTTTTTATAAATCAAAAGTATTTGTATTAATACCTAAGTTGACTTTAAAAAAGTTCTGTTTCACATGAAGACATTCTGCACCACCCAGTACTGGTGTAACCATAGAAAACCATCATTGTTGAAAAGAGCAATACATTAAACAGATGGAAACAATATAACAAGCAATACATAACTTCTTCTTTAAGTTACATCTTCTATTGAAGGTTGGAAATCATCATGGCTATGCGGACCTTGTTGACTGTCGCTCTAAATAGTTCTATACTACTGCATTCAAACCATTTCCTCAAGTTCTTAAGCCACGATATTCTTCGTCTTCCCACATTTCGCTTTCCTCGGATTTTGTCTTGCCTAATAAGATGCAATAATGAGTATCTTTGCATAACATGGCCTAAGTACTTAAGTTTTCTTCTTTTGATTGTAACGTTTCAATCAACCAATTAAACTTTACACCAAGATCCGCTTGGTACTTTCCCAAGTATCCCCCGTAATGTATTATTCCAAAGCGACCTCACTAAATTATAAATATTTTTAGTAGCTGTTCCATCCTATACCTATAAACCGATACAAATTTTTATTCGCTCTCTTTTCAATCATATCACTACAATCATTCTGCCAATTACACTTTAGTCACACAAATTGGTTAGTGTCTTAGCCATATACCCGGGTAAGTATCTTTTTCTAGTTTTAGGCCTCTGTTTTTTACTTGTTTTCTTTTGCATAGCAGATACTTTACTTCTTAAAATAAAGCTGAAAACATTTTAACATTTATTTTTTTTAACTGTATATATATATATATATATATATATATATATATATATATATATATATATATATATATATATATACCTATATTACCTTAATTCTCTAATCTTATTAATAAAGTTTTTTCCTATAAATTTATTTTTATTAATGCCACGCTGTGATCATAGATTTTGCTGAGATCGTTTCTTTCTGAATACTCAGCTTTGCAAAGAACCTTGGCAAAGGTGTGTGACAGGGCGCCACATATCAGTCAAGTTATTTACGTTGGCATTAGAAAATGTCTTCAAAAAACTAAATTGGGCCAAAAAGGTATTAAAAATAGATTGAGTAACATGAACTAAAATCAATGCTACAAGATTTAAATCACAAATCGAATCAAATAGGATTAAAAATGATTATCGACAAAACAAAGATATTTATCAACAGCCTAGAAAACATCACTATAGATAACATTATAGAAAAGGTAGAACAATATGGACATGCAATTAAAAACGAAAAGGAAAATCAAACCCTAGAAATTAAAAGAAGGACACAATTGTCATGGGCTGCTTTTGGTAAGTTGAGCTTCATTTTAAAAGACAGAGAAATCCCAATAACGAAAAACCTATGACACTTGTATACTACCGGTTGCAACTTATGGATTGAAAACTATGACAATAGCAAGAAAATGGCAGAACAATTAAGAGTAACTCAGCGGGCCATGAAGAGGGCCATGTTAAATATAAGCCTCAGAGATAAAACACCGAAATACGTCGAAGAACTAAAGTCAACGAAAAGTACATGTAGCAAGACAAGACACCAACAGATGGTCTCATAAAGTGACATTCTGGAGACCTCGAGAATCAAAAAGAAGCGTGGAAAGACCCAAAAAGAGATGGATAGACGATATAACAGCTGTAGCTGGAAAGCAGTGGATGAGAATTGCAAAAGATAGGGAAGCGTGGAAGCAATTGGAGGAGGCCTATGTCCAACAATAGATAAATGAAGGCTGAATAAGAAGAAGAAGACAGCTTTATTTCTGATCGGGTTTTTCTTTTGGGAGAAAACGGGTCATTATATGAATTTTCTAGCCACTACCGTAGGGAGCAAGCAATAGCCAACCACACTACCTTGGAAAGCAAACAACAGCCAACTACACTACCTTGGGGAAACAATCAGCAACCACCCATACTACCTTAAATCTACTGATGCATCAGAATATAATTTAAAACCCATTTATCAACCTGGGGACAAAAATGATTGCTATAATCTAGACCATCAACCCCCCTTAACCCAATCAATAACTACCGACAGCGGCTAACTTCCACAAAGATCGGAACCCTTCCTGGAGAACTGAACGACTCTTTCAGAACGAACTAAAGCTGAGTTATTTTTTATACTTTAATTACTTTATACCGGCAACCGGCAGAATCTTTGAGTCTCGGTTTAAAAATTTATTTTTGTTTCACATTCATAATAATATGAATTCTGTTTATTATTATTTAATAAATATATATACCTTTACTATGACTTCGTAAGTTTTTTTTATATCCTGTATCTTTCTAGAATTGATGTGGGGAGAGAATGAAAAGGGAAAGAACCCAGGACTGAGCAGTCGGGCAGAGCACCATTCTGATGGTTGGAACGGTGGGACTTTCTTCTCGTTTATTTTAGCAGTGTGGTGTTGCTTAACGCCCTGGTCTTAATAAGATTAAAACGTTACATTATATTCAATATCATTCCGCTGCATTTCCTTTTTTCTAGTAACTTCTGCGTTTTACATTCTTTGAGTCCATGATATTCGTACGATTCTTCTGTAATACCAAAATTCAAATGCAGCCAGCTTATTTAGATGCACTTGTTTTAATGTCCATGCTTCCAAGCCATAAAGAAGAGTAGTGAATACCTAACACTGAATCATTCTTAGGAGTAGTCTTAACCTTATATCTCGACAACAAAGAAACTGTTTAAGTTTAACGAATGATGCACGTGCTATTTCAATACGTATCTTAATTTCTTTTGTTTGATTTACATTTTGATGTTATCCATGTTCTTAAGTATTTGTAGGTATCCATACTGGATCCATTGGAATACTGGTCAAGCTTTTCAATGATGTTTATTCGACTGGAGATATCCCTGAAGATTGGTTAAAGTCCGAATTCATAACACTACCAAAAAAACAACGTCCGAAAAACTGTAGCGATTATAGAATGATAAGCCTTATGAGCCACACTTTGAAAATATTTCTACGCATCATCCACAGTAGAATCAGAGATAAATGTGAAGAAGACCAGTATGAAACACAATTTGGCTTCAGAAATGGACTGGGAACTCGGGACGCCCTCTTTGCACTAAGTGTATTACTGCAGAAATGTCGAGATCAAAGGAAAGACGTCTTTGCTGTATTTATTGACTATGAAAAGGCCTTTGATTGAGTACAGCATCACAAATTGATTACAATATTAAAAGATAAAGGAGTTGATAGTCAAGAGATACGATTCATAGAAAAGTTATACTGGCGTCAAACAGCGACAGCTTGCATAAACGGAAAATCAACAGAAATATGTAAAATACAAAGAGGTGTCAGACAGAGTTGTATACTATCCCCACTGTTATTTAATTTATATTCAGATAGAATATTTAAAGAAGCGCTGCATAATTTGGAATGGGGCGTGAAAGTTAATGGAATTCTGATAAATACAATCAGATATGCAGACGATACAGTTATTTTAAGTGATGACATGAATGGACTACAATGCCTTTTAAATGCCATTGATACAGTGGGAAGAGAGGTTGGGCTAAATATAAACTGTTCAAAAACAAAACACATAGTGTTTAGCCGTTTAGTACATCAAGATGCACGATTATATGTTGATGGTCATAATTCAGAGAGTGTCCAGTTTTAATTATCTTACTTGCCATATTACTGAACAACTAGATCCAGATCAAAAGATAAAATGTAGAATCGAGATAGCCCGCACGACATTTTTAAAAATAAGGTCATTCTTCTGTAATGATAACTTGCAACTTCAACTTCGAAAGTGCATGGTTAAATGCTACATTTGTTGAGTCCTCTTGTACGGTGTTGAAGCATGGACATTAAAAATATCCACTATTAATCGTCTGGAGGCCTTTGAAATGTTGCTGCACAGACGTATACTAAAAAATCCATGGACAGCTATGCTGACAAATGTGGCAGTCCTTGAGAGAGCAAAAGCTGCTCGCGAGCTGCTTGATAACATCAAATGTAGAAAGATGGCCTATTTTGGACACGTAGTAAGGAGAGACCGATATAATATTCTTCAACTTATTATGATAGTAAAATCGAAGGACGCAGAGGAATTGGTAGAAAGCAGGCCTCTTGGTTGAAGAATATCAGGGAGTGGACAGGAATAAGGAAAGCTGAGCAACTCTTTAGAATAGCTCGAGACAGAGACAGTTTCGCCATGTTAATCGCCAACGTCAAGGGGACTTGATAGGGCACGTTAAGAAGAAGAAGGTATCCATACTCTCAATTACAGTATTCTTAACAATCAATTGAGCAAAATAATATATCAAACTGCTCAAATACAGAAAAACCGTTTAGTATATAACGGTCCTGGATCAGAAAAATATTTGTTTAGTAAAAAAACTATCGCATACACACATCTTTTGTTCGATTCTACACTAACATTTTAGAACCCATTATTAACATTCTAAATAATAAATAGTCCTCTTTGTAAAAAATTCTTACAGAAACAGACAGTTCATAACAGAAATAAAAAAACTGAAAAATGCGAAGCACAAGTACTCAATTCAGAATCTAACATTTTATAATAAAGCCTGAAATAAAAATGCACTTTTCATAATAAAAGCGATTGAAAGATTTAAAAATTACTGTATTTTACAAATATTTCGCTAATACGTGATAAACAGGAATATTCAGCTATATATTTCCAAAATTGTCCTTCCCCACAATCACACTTATCGTTACCAGAATTATATTTTTTAGTTGCAAAAAGATATCATCACAACAATTCTCTAATCACATCCTCCCGAACGCGATAAAATTGTTATTATTGTCAGTTGACAAAATGTTACCAAAGAACGCTGTTCCCTTTTTGCTTTTCGCGACATTTATCAGTGTATCCTATGCAAGTGTCCGAATAAATTTCGTAAGATGTGGGGCAGGTGGTTTCACCTGTTCTACCTATCCCAAAACTAATACTTTGGCTATATATTATAACTGTGTTGGCGATGTAAGTATATTATATAATTATTATATTACAAAATAGAATATTTTACAATAAAAAGTATTAGAAAAACTTCAGATATAATAAATTATTTTTATTGTATGTTCACTAACTTTCTTTCTTTCTCCCCTTCCTTTTACCCTATCAGGGTGTCAGATTTGGGCTAGCTATTTTAATTTCCATTTACCCACCTCTTCCATTCTTTTCTGTTTCCTGCCATTATTTTCAATTCCTTGAGTGATTTTTGTTTAAATTTTCCCGCCTCTACTAATTGCTGTATCCATTTTTTTCTTGGTCTGCCTCTTTTTCTTTTTCCGATGTTTTTTGCTTCATAAACTTTTCTTGTTATTCTATTGGATTGCATCCTCATCAGATGCCCATACCAGTTCATTTGTCTCTTTGCTATTTTGTTCATTATCGGTTCCTGGTTGGCCATTCTCCTAATAGTCTCGTTGCTTACTCTATCCCACTTTGTCTTTCCAACTATCTTTCTTAGATGTCTCATCTCCAATGCGTTTATCCTGCTCTAATGTTTTTCCAGAATTGTCCAGTTTTCACTTGCATAGAGCACAGTCGGTATCACTATTGTGTTATACCTATATTTTTATTCTTGTTTCTCGTATAAGTTCTCTTTTTCCCATTATTGGGGCTAACGCATAGTATAACTTGTTTGATTTCTTTGCTCTATTTGTTATTTCCCAGTCTATTTTTCCATCATTAGTTATTATACTTCCCAGGTATTCGTAAGTTGATACTATTTCCAATTCTGAGTTTTTACATTTTATCTTTATTTGATTATCTTCCTGATCTCCATTGCCGCTGATTATCATTATCTTACTTTTTTCCTCGTTTATCTCCATTTTTAGTTCTTCTATTTGTTCTACCCATATATCCATTAGTTTCTGCATTTTATTCTCGGAATCTGCTATTAGTACTATGTCGTCTGCATACATTAAGGACTCTATTGTTACCGGTTGTAATCTGTGGTAACCTATTATTGTCTGTAGTTGATTGGTTCTGATTCTAGTGTTTCTTAACAATTCGTTCATTACTATTATGAATAGCAAAGGGCTGAGACTATCTCCTTGTTTAATACCTCTCTTCCAATTAAATGCTTCCGATCTTTCCCCTGTTATTTGTACCCTTCCTTTTACCTCTTTGTAAGTACTTTCTATAATTTTTATCAATGCATTAGGTACATTTATTGTTCTCAAGCATTCCCCTATAATATGTCTTTCTATCGTGTCAAATGCTGCTCTTAGGTCTATGAATGCTAATACTCGCTTTTCGCCCGTATCTATGCTTCTTTCTATTAGGTTTCTAATATGTTGTCATTTGTCTGTCTTCCCTGTCTAAATGCCGTTTGTTCTTCTCCCAATACCATTTCTACTTCTTGTCTCAGTCTCTTCTCTATTATGTTCGTATATATTTTAAAACATACCGATGACAGACATATTGCTCTATAGTTGTCACAGTTTACATGTTCTCCTTTTTTGTATATTGGCACGATGATATTCTTCTGCCAGTCTTTAGGTATTGTTGGTTTTTCCCACGCCTCTTTATATATTTTCCATAGCCAGTTTATTCCTTCTTCTCCCATGTATTTTACCATTTCCGGTTCAATTTCATCGTCTCCACCTGCCTTGCCTATTTTTATATTTGATAATCCTTCTATTACTTCTTCTCTACTTATTTGCTCTAGCTCTGTGTTTTCTTCGCCTTCATTGTTTATATTGTCTTCATTTATTACTTCGGTATCAAATTTTTTCTCATAATATTCTTTCCATACCCTAGCTACTTGTTCTGGGCTTATTTGTATTTGGTTTGAAGTATCTCTTACTGCGTTTATTTCCTTTCGTCCTCCTTGCCTTATGTGTCGTATTGTTGTCCAAAAGTTTCTATTATTTGTTATATATTCTTCCTGAAGTTCTTCTCCAAATTCTTTCCATGTTTTTGCTTTTGCTTATGTGACTGTCTTTTTTACCAATCGTCTCTGCCTATAGTATTTTTCTTTATCTTCTTCTAATCACGTTTCAATGTATTTTTTCCATGCTATTTTCTTCTTTTTTATTTCTGTCTTCACTTCTTTATTCCACCATCTTGTCCTTTTCAATTGTTTATTATATTTTTTTATTCCACACACTTCAGTTGCTGTTGTCTTTAATACTTCACTGTAAGTATTCCATCTTTCTTCCATTGTCCATGTTTCTTTTTGGCCCTCTATTTGTCTCAGTCTTTTGTTAGTTTCCTCCGTGTACAATTCTCGCACACTTTCTATCTTTAGTTTGTTTACATTTACTTTCTTATACTCTTTTCTTTCCACTTCCTCTATTTTTTCATCCTCCAGTTTTGCAGTGACCATTCTATGTTGTGTAGACAGTTCCGGTTCCTTTTCCGTTAAGATGGTTGTTATATTTTGTTCTAGGTTTCTCGTATAGACTATATAGTCTATTAAGCTTTTCGCATTTCTCTCTTCAGCCACAAATGTATATTTGTCGTTAATGGTTTGTTCACTGAATGTGTTTCCTATTATCAGGTCATTGGTTTGGCAGAATTCCAGCATTTTAATTCCATTTCTATTTAATGTGTCTTCTCCATATTGTCCAATGCATCCTAATCCCCTGTTAATGTCTTTACCTACTCTTGAATTCCAATCGCCTAAGATTATTATTTTTTCTCTTGTCTCCCTTAATTTGTCAAATGCGTTTTGAAGTTCGTTGTAGAATTCTATCATTATCTCTTCTGTTGGTCCGTATATTTGTATTATTCCTATCTTGTCTTTTAGTTCTATTTGGGCTGTGATTATTCTAGATGATACTGCTTCGTAGTTTGTTATTCTTGATTCTATTATTTTATTCACTATTATACCGACTCCTTCTTTTGCTCTGTGACCCTGTGGTACTCCGGAATAATATAGACTATATTTCTCATTTATATTGATGTATGTTCACTAACAAATAATAAAATAAAAAACAAAGTACAAAATATTGCCTAATGTATCAACAAATAAAAATTTGTATTTTTTTTATTTCTGAGAAAGATATTTTTCAAATCAAAATTATAAAATTTTTCTAAAATACGGATACTAAAATCGAGTATTTCCTCTATGCGCTAGAATAACAGCTCTCATCCTGTCTGGCATAAACTGGATCAAAGTAGTAATCTCGTATTTGTTGCCATTCGTTTATTAGCGAATGTTCTAAAGCTACCACAGTTCTAGAGTCGCCATAATTTTGCCTAACTTATCTTTCCAAGCTAATTACTATTTTAATGGAAATAAGCCACAATTGAAGTTTAACATAAGTTTACTGACGTTTCAATTTTAATTCGGAAATCGTTCTCAAAATACTAACATTAATATTTTAAGCAAATTTTGTTTGTATATAAATTTTTTTTTTTATTTACAAACATGGTCGCATCAACCTCTGGGGTTATTAGCGACATATAAACATAAACATGAGATAAGTAACTTATAAATAAATATTATATTTTGTTAAGAATATTAATGTCTTTAAGAAATTTCATAATATTTTCACTGGTACACTCACTAAAGATGTCCCTTATAACCGATGGAATTTTATTAGTTAGTCTTTCAGCACTATATTTGGAACTCTCCGTTAATACGTGTTTCACTGTTAACGGCACGTCACAACTCGTACATCTTGGTTGAGGTTCCTTCTTCATGAGAAATTCATGTGTGAGTTTGCTGTGTCCTAATCGGAGCCTGGTTAATACAACCTGAAGCAAACGGCTAACTTGGTTTAATTTATTTTAACTTTGAGGATTTTTCTTCCCAACATTTAGTCCAATTACATATCAGCTTTTGTTTAAAGTACGACTTGAGATCTTCTGCTAATGGTTTTATTATCGGTCTGATATTTGGGGAATTTGCTATTTCTCGAGCATTTTTATCAGCTAGTTCGTTTCCTTTAATGCCTATATGTGATGGTACCCACACGAAGACTAATGTTTTGTTTTCCAGCTGCTGCATCTTGTTTTTAATTAATTTAGCTAACGGGTTGCAAGTGTACATTTTTGACAGTATATGAAGGGAATTGATTGAGTCAGTAATAATAAGGAATTTATGTGGTTTGACTGTTTGTATGTAAATTAGAGCTCTGTATATTGCATACAATTCTCCAGTTATCACAGTGGATTCTGTGGGCAATTTGAAACTTTTTATTATGTCTCTTATAACAAATGATGATCATACACCAGAAGTTGTTTTAGATGCTATGTAAAAAAATGTGTATTTTTTTCGATTACTTCTCCTATTTTTTCCCATCTTCAGTTCAGTTCTCTTGAGACCTCTTTCATTGTTTCAATCTTCAGTAGTGTTTTAATATTCCATGTTTCTATACTAAATATATCATTTTCTTTCGTTTGCTGTTTTTCAATGTAAATCTATTTGTCTCCTTTTTTGCTACCTGGTCAGTCGTCTTTTGTATTAAGACCTCCGCATGAGGTAACGCCCTCAAATCGCTCTGTAGCATTTTTTATTCTCTTACTATATACTCATTATTTTTCCTCGTTTATTTCTCTCTCCCAATCCGTGAAGACCAATACGTTCTTCTTTTCCGTTCTCTATTTTTGCATGAAAATCTTCTATGACAATAAGGTGTTATGTATATCTCTCGTATGTATGTATATCGTCATAATGCAAGGAAAAATAGATGGCAGAAGAAGCATCGGAAGAAGACGAATTTCATGGCTGAAGAACCTGAGAGAATGGTTTGGATGCAGCTCAAAACAACTATTTAGAGCTACTGCCTCAAAAATTAAGATAGCTATGATGATTGCCAACCTCCGTAGCGGAGATGGCACCTGAAGAAGAAAGAAGAAGTATATCTCTTATAAGGTTGCTTATATGTTTGTAGAATTCTGCAATTTCCTCATCACTCTGTTATGCTGTAAGTGCATGTACTTGTATGATGTCTTTATTTATAACACGGGGATTGTTTACTGGTATAAAGGTATAACGTAAATATGAAGGAACTAGTTACAACAGTTAATAGAAAGGATAATGTTGGATATACGACAGTCAGAAAGAGGATGATAAAAAAAACAAAAGTTAAGGATATCACAACAAAAATTGTCAAATTCAAATGGAGCTTCGCAGCCACACTGTTACGCAAACAAAAATACCAACGTTAGAACGCCACAATACAACATTAGACCTTACAAAGGTAGACAACCAAGTGGAAGACTCTAAATGAATGGGTAGATACCATCAAACAAATGGCCGTAACAAATTGGAGAACGTTGCTTAAGATAGTCATCGATGGAAGGAGATAAAAGAGGTCTATGCAAAAAAAGGCGATAGATGAAACCATCACCCTGTACATTACTTTCTATTTAATACGTCAATAATAAATTTTCCTAAATTACTGTTTTTAAATCAAAGAATAAAAGTCCAAAATATAATCTAATTTAAACACGATAGTGTTTTCCCCAAAATAGTTGCTAATGTTTTAATAACAACTTTGTTTACTAATTATAAGATTACTTTTTGTTTTTAACTTTCTATTGTTTAAAAATCAATCAGTTGTATAATTAAGACTAATATAAAATGGGGAAAATATACATTCAAAATCAGATTCAGACTACCAGTTGAATAAGCTAGTTATATATACTGTTTTTTTTATCTTGTACTTGTTTTTATCCTTACTGTAGTGTTGTGTATCAGTTTATTTTATATTTTACAATTAATAATTGTATTAATAAATATAAGAAAGAAGTAAGTGTTTTAACAGACAAAAGAATCCCATTACAGAACGTTGCTTAAGATAGGCATCGATGGAGGGAAATAAAAGAGGTCTATACAAAAAAAGGCGATAGAAGGCTAAGAACAAGATGAACAATTATACTCTGCATTCTTCTATATCACAATAGTTTGAGTCAGGCCACTTTATTGTGGCTGTGTCCATTATTGCTACTTTCATGCTTTTCATTTGTTTTATTCAATAATAAATTTTCCTAAATTACTGTTTTTAAATCAAAGAATAAAAGTCCAAAATATAATCTAATTTAAACACGATAGTGTTTTCCCCAAAATAGTTGCTAATGTTTTAATAACAACTTTGTTTACTAATTATAAGATTACTTTTTGTTTTTAACTTTCTATTGTTTAAAAATCAATCAGTTGTATAATTAAGACTAATATAAAATGGGGAAAATATACATTCAAAATCAGATTCAGACTACCAGTTGAGTAAGCTAGTTATATATACTGTTTTTTTTTATCTTGTACTTGTTTTTATCCTTACTGTAGTGTTGTGTATCAGTTTATTTTATATTTTACAATTAATAATTGTATTAATAAATATAAGAAAGAAGTAAGTGTTTTAACAGACAAAAGAATCCCATTACAGAACGTTGCTTAAGATAGGCATCGATGGAGGGAAATAAAAGAGGTCTATACAAAAAAAGGCGATAGAAGGCTAAGAACAAGATGAACAATTATACTCTGCATTCTTCTATATCACAATAGTTTGAGTCAGGCCACTTCATTGTGGCTGTGTCCATTATTGCTACTTTCATGCTTTTCATTTGTTTTATTGCTCATTGAATTTTTCCTGATTGAGCCATAGTCACTTTCCAAACAGATATTCTCTTCAGACAATTTGTGTTTATTTTTCTTTTTGGTTAATTATATATTTTACATAGATTTCGCATGTTAACGATCAGGGAGGCTCTGTGGATAAGGGAACCACCTCTTCTGGCGGACCATGGTCTACGATGTCCATGATCAGTAATTAATGCATTTTGTCTTGTACAGCCATTACAACCATACTGGAAATATCCATGGGGATCTTTAATATAGTGGTTTCTGCTTGTCTTCTACATTCTTGTGTCGTAGACCAAATCACTGATTCTTCCCCCTTTGGAACCGGTTTCTCAGTCCCATTCTTAGAGTAAAAGAGTGGTCTACTGCATAACAAGTCACCACGAACCCAATGGCAACAACACTAAGCAGGTATTGCAGTCATTGATATTCGTTAATTACTTGTATGTGTGTGGTATAGTTTTGTCTATTTCGGTCAGTTGTCATATCATTTTGTAAACGAAAGTTTGTCTTCCATGTAAATCATTTTCAATTTGACTAGTGCACTGTATTGACTTATGATGTGTTTGCCTTTAAATATATGTTGCTTCATTTCGAGCATTTATATATCTGTTTACTTTCTTGTGTCCTATTTTGTAAGTACTGCTGGCATGTTCGTTGTTTATCACTGAATTTTTAACTTGTTGATTCTATTGTTGTAATCCTTTCCTTGGCATTTCATAATAAAGATACGATATTTTACCTGCTTTATGACCAATTGTTGATCTACAGATATATTAATATGAAATTGGTGATGGAGATACGTAGACGATGTACTGGTAGGTTTTACATGAACTAACAGGCAACTTGACAAATGTTGATTGTATATTAATTCACTCCATAGTCATATCGAATGTGCAATAGAAACAGAACAAAATCAATCCATAATTTTTTTAGATTTCAAAATTATCAGACTTAACAACAAACATGAGTTTGTATTCTCCGTATTTCATAAACTCACCCATCAAACACAATATAAATTGGCAGTCTACCACAGCAAGTTACATAGATTAATAGAAATTCAGATGTCAAAATACAACTTTGAGATATAATTAAATATCTTTAAGCAAATAACAGTAAACAATGGGTACAACGAACAAACAATTAATAAAATTTTAAATCAAAAACTACATAAGAAAGCCCTGAAATTAGTATTTCCACCACCAGAGAAAAAACCCAGTACTTTCTGCTCGATTACATATATCGCAAGATATCAACAAAAATAGCCAAACACATAAAAAAGAAAGGAGCAACAACAGCTTTTAGAACAAAAAACAACTTGGGCAAATATATTAAAAACAACAAGAACCAAAATAAAAAGCACTTATACAGTGGTGTATACAAACTTAAATGTGTTGCCTGCCGAAAAACTTACATCGGTCAATCTGGTAGAACTTTAAACAAACGTATAGCAGAACATAAAAATGCTTTCAATAATAGAAAAACCGATTCTCCGTACGAACTTCACCTTTTAGACCATAATCATTCTTTTAATGACGAATTTCAAATTCGTCGCCTCTAAAATAAAGGCCTTAAGCTATCTGTATTAGAATATATGGAAATTAATAAATTAAAAAATACAGACATAATTCTGCATGACCAACTTGAGACTAACAGTTCTACCCTCCTCAACCTATTCAGTTAAAGACTATAAAGTGTAAACACATACCAAAATAGTGATAAGATATTATTATAAATTTTGTGGAAGTTTTGAAAACAAAATTTTCAGTATTTTATTGTTATATTAATTTTATTTTCAGGATGTCACTTTATATATCAACCAATTCAACAGTCCTGCCAATATCGAAACTCTTCTTATTCAAAACTGTGTAAACCTAACCATATCTTTTAGATGTACAGGGGAAAATAAAAATATACAAGTTTTAACAGTGCGAAATGTTAAACGGCTAAAAATTGAACCGCAACAGTATACGTCTCATGTACCAACATCGGTTATTTTCGAAAATATTGCGTTTATAGAAGAAATTCCGAAAGATACTTTTGCTCAAATCCAACGAACCACACATTCTTACGGTTGTATCTTTCCGAAAAAGGATTTCTACGCCCTCTCGTTTAGAAACGTAACGATAGACACTGTGGGATCCCGAGCTTTTCACATGCCTCAAAACTTCGGTAATTTTACTTTCACCGATGTCAAAATAAATAGACTACAAACATCGGCTCTTTTGGCTAAACAGGAAAAACTATCACAGTTCATAATAGAAGACAGTAAAATAGACGTTGTGGAACATCTTGCATTTCAAGTCACCAGTAAAAATGTAGAAATCAAAAACAATAGGTTCGTTGATATCGCCGGTAGTGCATTTAATGGAACGGCAGAAAAATTTACTTTTTATAACAATTACGTCAACACATTTCATCCTTATGCGATATCGATACTTGTCACTAATGTTTACATTTGGAAAAATACTTTCGAGTATCTGAAAAGCGGCGCCTTGCAAAAAATCAGTCCTGGATTGCTGGAAGATTCTGGTAGAAATTTCGGTTCGCTTAGGTTTATATACCAATTCAAAAACAATACGATCCATTCCATGGACGCTGGATCGCTCAATCCTGATGTTGAAGCATATAAAAATGTTGCTACTAAAATGATGTTGGAAGGAAATATTATAAAGTGTGAATGTATCAACATTGGTAAGTTTTTAACTCACTTTTATTATTTTTGTATTTAAATATTTTATTATTCTGGCAAAAGTTTGCCATAAAATTCTATATTTTATCCATTTCCATACTAGCACAGATCACCATTAGTAGTTTTTGGGTCCTACTTCATGTTATTCGTCTTCACTACAGCTACGCTGTATCGACTCGCACACAACGCAGAAATGTTTTTCTAGGTTTTCTTAAGTGGTTTGGTTCCGCGTGATATAATAGGTAGGTTTTATCGAAGGATTGTTTAGGCTTTCCTAAATTTTTAGCAGCTGTTAAAAAAAAACTTCTTCTGGTAGCACTACAACCAGGGGTGGGTCTTGGCTGACTGCACAACCTGCTTTCATCTCGAACGGTCGTCCATGATGTTTAAGTCAGTGGGTAGCCCCATTGTTCTCATATCTGGGACTAAGGGACTGTTGGGACTTCTTCCCAGATTAACTTGGTAAGGCGGTTATTAGGGAGCCTATGAACATGGTCAGCTCATCTTAGACGTTGGGATTTAATCTCTTGGACTACGTCGCTAGCACTATACATTTATTTGACCTCCGCATTTGTTCTTATTCGGTATTGGTTAGTATTCGGATCATGATAGGGACCGAAGATCTTTCTGAGGATTTTTCTCTCAAAGCATCTGAATTTACTTTCCATTTCTTTTGTCAGCGTCCACGTCTCACGCCCATACATGAGCACCGGTCTAATTACTGTTTTATATATCCTGATTTTTGATGTTCGTGTTAGGCTCTTGGATTTAGTAGTGTTGTGGAGGCTATACATACATCTGTTTGCTGCCTGAATTGTCCCTTTTATCTCTTCTGTGGTGATAGTCGCTCCGAGATATTTAAAACTCTCCACTCTTTCAAAGTTATAGGGGTCTATTGTTACATTTTTTCCTATTCTATCTCGTCTCTTTTGTCTGTTAATGCACATATACATGGTTTTCTCTTCATTGACCCTTAGACCGGTATTTTTTGCCTCTCTCTCTAATTTATTGAAGGTTTCTTTTACATTGGTGACGGTATTTCCTACAATGTCAATGTCATCCGCGTATGCTAGTAGTAGTTTTGGTCCATTTACTGTCAGTAGTTCTGTTCTAATTTGTGCGGTTCTTACTACTTTTTCCAGGATTATATTAAAAAGAAGAGGTGACAGCGCGTCTCCTTGCTTCAGTCCACTGTTTATTTCAAACGACTCTGAGAGCTTGTTATCTATCCGCACTCTAGATCTACAGCCATTTACACAAACTTTAACGAGCTGGATAAGTTTTTTTGGAACTGAAAGTTCTGCCATTTCATTCCACATCTGATCCCTTTTAAGCCTGAGAGCCATCTGAGCCATTTTGTTGGTATTTTCTCTTCGTTCCATATAAGTGTTATTAGTTTGTGTAATTTTCTATGTAAAGTTTCTCCTCCGTACTTAAGAAATTCGGCTGGTATATTGTCAAAGCGTGGAGCTTTTGCGTTCTTCAATTTGTTAATTGCTTGCAATGTTTCGTCTATTTTTGGGTACTCTACCGGTAGGTCCACCCCAAGATATATATCCTCTCCATGTTCTTCATCTTGGTGTATATTAAGTAAATTTTTGAAATATTCTTGCCATGTTTGGAGTAATTCTTGTTCGTTGATTATTAATTCATCATTATTTTTTCTCAGTACAGACACGCAGTTAGGTCTGAATCCTTTCTTTTCGTTTGACACAGATTTGTAAAATGCTTATTAAAATGCATTGTTTGACACAGATTTGTAAAATGTTTAAAAAAACGAAATTAATAATGTAAGATTGAGATTGGAATGGGTGACAACCTTGCTTTAGGCTTATGCCTCTTCAAGTTATGGAATTAAATAGGAAAAGACAGTTAAGATTTTATTTCACATATAGTGCGTCTCTGTATCCGCGTATACGTATTTCGGCCTAATAGACCTCCTCAGAACGGCGATTCAAAGTCGCTCTAAACGTGAAAATAAATCTCTTCTGTCTTAGGAAGCAAGCTCTTCTGTCTAAGGATTGAAAGGCAAAACAGACGTTGATAAAGATGTTATTAGTGACATGGGAATCTTCGGCCTAATAGGCTTCTTCAGAACGGCTATTCACAGTCGCTCTGACGTGAGAATAAATATCTTCTGTCTTAGGAATCAACTCTAACATGGCTTCGAATGGATGCAAATAGCGACATCTGATTTTAAAACCGTAAACAACTGATTGAATTGGTTGAACTAATGAAAAAACTGTTAAAGTCCTTTCAGAATTGTTTGGGCAGTCTTTAGTAAATCTCGTGGATGTTAGCTGTGAGTAGAAACTCACCCAGGAACAGGTGTCGTTGTTCTATGAGATTGGGAAACCACAGAAAATCAATGTCTCCCTTTCCTTGTGTATATTAGTTGAGCTCTGAAGGATATATCTGAGCAAGTGAGTGCCCTCTTTGAGCTAGGTGCTTAGGTAGGATGTAAGGAGAATTAGAATCTGGTTTGTATAAATCTTTGATTTATATATTGGTTGTACGTCGACGATATGTACGTCCGTACATATTTAGAGAGATCTCGTTAAAGAGACAAGCGTCGTCATTCCTTTTTTGGGGAAAACGTTGAAAGGGATCGTCGACATGAACAATGACAGGCCAATTTGGATAGGCTAAGGAAGGCACAAAGAGCGATGGAGAGACAAATGTTGGGTATATCACTTAAAGATAGAAAACGTAACCAGTGGATCAGAACCAGAACAAAGACAGTAGACGCGATAGAACAAGCAGCAAAACTGAAATGGAAATGGGCTGGACACAACGAACGTCTCCAAGACGGACGATGGAACAATGCCATCGGAAAGTGGCGTCCATACAATGCAAAGAGATCAAGAGGCAGACCACAGATGAGGTGGAAAGATGACATTAGGAAACAAGGAGGTCCCACATGAAAGAGAACAGCTCAAGATAGAGAAAGATGGAGAGAACTGGGGGAGACCTATATCCAAGAATGGAAGGATAGAGAATAGGTTCAAAAAAAAGAAAAAAAAACATAGATAATTTTTGTATGATAAATAGTACTTACATAAAATTACATTTTATTTATTGTTTTTTTTCTGGAATAAATAAGCAATATCCGATTACTAAGTTTACTGAATTACTGTGCACTTGACTTTCACAATTCTTACTTATTTTGGTGAGTAGTACTATGGTAAAAATGATTTACAAGTATTAAAGCACTTGCACAAATTATTCATCACCAATTTCAATATCAAATTACAGTATAAGTTTGTACACTTCTTTTAATTAACAATGGGTAAAAATATACACAATAAATAAAAAAAATATATATATAGGGCACAATACAGAATATACAGAAATATATTCCAACAATATATTTAGCATCATTTTATCTGGACAGAGCAAGAAAAAATTGGACTAAGATGAGATAAAGACAAAAATAGTACAAGAAATAGAAAAAAAATGGCAGAAACTGGTACAGAGTTTATCGAGAAAATAAACAAAAAAGAAGATGCTCTGACTTTGGCCACACAACTATCTTAGATTTTTTAGCCAAAAACCGCGAAAGCTATCAATACTCCATAAGGAGAGACGGCATTAGAGAAAGACATCTGAAAAATAAGAAGAAAACTTAAAATGCATATTAGTGTACCAGAGAGCATGTGAACACAAAAAACGGATTTTACATGTGTTCTTCACAATCCTAGAAAAGCATGCCTTTAATAATAATTTTGAAGTATGGCACATCTAAAATAAAGGAAAGAAGCTACCTTTTTTAAAACGCAAGATGCCAAGAAGGTAAGAAATTTAATCTCGAGCTTAATTAGGACTTAATCCTTTATGACTAACTTGAGGAAAATCAGTCCCCTCTTAATGCATATTTAGCAACTATAAAATAGTCTTATAAATGAATTTTGCGAATTAAATTATTCTTCAAGAATTCATATATCTCCATGGTTGTATATTTCAACATCTCCCACTGTTAGTCAGTTGGTATTGAGTAACGCTTGTACATATTAATTTTATAGTTTTCCCATTGCCGGGGGGTTTAACTGAACTACTTGAATTATACCCCATTTATACACTGCTTTCAATTTTGGTATTTTAATTCTTAGTATTTTAATTTCATAGTCAAATTTCTTCTTTTCTAAGGTATTGATAGTTCCTGGTAGACCCTTTTATTGTAGTCAACCACCGACTGTCTAATAGATTATTTAGTCTATTTCCTGCATTCATACTTTACGTAAATTCAGTTGCTCTCAAACTAACACCCTAATTATTATAGACAGGTTTAAGTCTGAGATCTGGATTATACAATCTAGTTAAAATATTCTATGTCATATTTCATCAGTTGATTCCCTATAGTAGTGTCAGTTGGACCTTTGGTCAATGCTTAGTTACATAGAATTTTTAGTCAATAGACTGCCCATCCAAGCTGTCATATGTCACATGTCACCTTAACATTTCCATTAATACCGGGAGCCATTCTCTCTCCTGTTGCCGACTAGAATGTAGCTTCGACTATGTTTTAAATAATTTTAAACTGTTTGTCCTTGTTTAGTGTAGTGTTAAGTACAATTTTATGTTAAATTTTATATTTATGACATTTTGCGATTGTTGGATAGCCCAAAATTGACGAATAAGTCTAAATCGTTAATCACAAACAAACTTTTATCATCCATTAACTTTTTTTATATCAGTTAATAAAAGTTTATTAACTAAGATAAAAAGTATTATCGAAGTATTATCGAAGTTATTACATTTCTTCATTTAAATAAACGTTTCTTGACTTATTTCAGATGCCCCTGAAGATGCTCTAGGAAGCGAAAGTACTTGGACAAGATTTAATTAATAAATCTGTGCTCGATATTTGCCTTTCATTTTATCAAAGTTCATTTATTCGAGCATTCAACCTTATATCAAAGTCTTATAAATGTTGAAATATTTTTTGAAAAAAAGGTTGGATTATGTTTTATCTGTCATAGTTTATCAACCAATATTTTCAGTATTTTATTTATTTCAAACAAAATCAACAACCAAATATTTTGTTTTAGGTTGGATATTCTCCGGTAGTGGCCACGGTTCAAATACACCAATGTTAGAAAATTTCTATCTAACTTTGTTAGATCCTAATTCTAATAACAAATGCAGTGCCGCCTGCAATCTCCCTCTGTCTGCATCCAGTGAAATGATTAGTAACGGCAAATGTTCGGAAGACATAACTGTAAGCCTGTTATGTGGAAGTAAGGATAAGTTACAACTTACGAATAATAATCCAACTACCACAACAACAATCGTTCAATCGGGAACAAGTCCCAGTAAGCAGACCTTGAAGCGGCCTGTGGTCTTTTTCCTCAATTCTAAGAGTACTATGTTTACTAAGAATCTTGATTTGTTATTTTGTGTGTGTTTTATTTATTATTTTTTGTAAAAATTATTTTAAGTGATGTTAAATAAAAAATATATATAAACATTATTTTCTGAGAGATAGTTTAAACTTACATGTCAGTTCAATTTTTTTGGAATAAAGTAATCTAACAATTCAAAAGTAAAAACAGTAACGTTCTTAGATCACGTTATTGATCACGGATATTTTTTAAGGTACTACTTTAAAATCGTATTTATCTTATAAATTAATGACATTACTCACTTTTAAAAATACTACAAGAAGTGGCAGGGAAAACAGGTATTTCGGAAAACATAAGTACTCTGTAGAAAAGAAAATTCCTCGGCACGTGGATTACAATAATCTCAGAAAGGATCGGATAAGGAAGAAAACTTCATGATCATCTGATAAAACATACGATGAACCAACAAAGAGTGGCATTCATTGAATATTAAATCATGGTGTTTGATAAAAATACACCTTCAATATTAAATTTTCTTTTGGCAACAGCAAATAAAAACGAATATCTATCTAATTTTTATAGAACTGCACTGCAAAGCCTAATTAAGGACATGGGATTTGTGTACACAACATTGACAACATGACATTACATAGAGACCCATTTGTTGGTAAACTTGCTAAACTTGGTACAAACTTGGTACTTGGTACACTACAAACTTGAAAGTGCCTACTTCACATATCCACATTTCTTTTATTGCATGCACTATGTTTTGTGGACCTTAAGAAGACATTTGAAAAGGTTCAAATTAAAGGACCGTATCCACTTATTGTACGCAAGCGAGATACCTCTAGGAATAATTATTAAAACAATCGAAAATATCTACCAAAACACAATAAAAGTAAAACTAGAAGAAGAAGCAACTAACCCTATTGAAGCTGGCAATGGGATAAGACAGATAGATTCCCTAAGTCCTGTATTGTTCAACCTGAATATGGATGTGAAAATAAAAAAAGTAAGAACTAAAAAAAGATACCAAATGGGAGAAAAACAACTTAAAATAATTCGCCATGCAGACGACACAATAGTACTACCTCAGAGTGAAGAAGATTTACAACCAATGATGATGCACCAATTTAATATAACCGCTAGAAAATTTAACATGTTAATTTCTCCAAAAAAGACAAAATGCATGCATTATAACATCAAATTTACTACGATGTAAATTGGAGCTGGAAGGTCAGATAATAGAATCAGTGATAAAGTTGAAATATCTAGGAAATCAAATTATCTATGTATGGAAAACTCGAAACAGAAGTGGAAGATCAAGTAAATAGAGCAAACAGAGCAGCAGGTTGCCTGAATAAAACAATATGAAGAAATAAAAATATCGGAAAAGAAATGGAAGGCAGAATTTACAAGACAGTTAACAGACCAATAATGGCATACGTAGCAGAAACATGACCTGACACAGAGAGGACAAAAAGGATTTTAGAAAAAGAAGAGATGAAAACACTTAGAAAGTTGATAGTAAAATATTATGGGACAGAGCTAGAAGTACAGGTATACGACATAGATGCAAGGTGGAGAACATCAAGGACTGGGTAAGAAATAGAAGAGTAGAATGGAATGATTCACAATGGAACGTTAACAAACAAAAAAACAATTAAGAGCGGGCATTAATTTAGCTAAGAACGAGACGTGGGATAAGAAATGTGAAGAAGTTAACAATTATACCGGAGGAAGGAAATACTCGGAGGTATGGAAATTTATATCAAATGTCAAAAACCCAGCAAAAGACAGAGCAAATATCCAGATAATCAAACCGGAGCAGTCGATACAACACTACAAAGGTCTACTACAAGAAACTAGACAGAAATACATGATAGAATCTCCAAAACATTTTTAAGTAAATGGAGAAGAAGTAGAGTTATCCGAAGAAACAGTAAAAAAGACAGTTTTGAACCTTAAGTTAGGGAAAGTTAGCGGACCAGAAGGGATTTTCTCCGAAATTTTAAGATGGGGAACGGAAAAATTCTTTAGAAATCTAACAATAATTATCAATAAATGCCTAAATGGATATCCTGTTCCAGAAGACTGGAAAACAGCTTATATATCATCCATCCATAAAAAAGGAAATAAACTGGACTGTAACAACTATCGAGGCATATCAATCACGAGTACACAGATACGCAGACTATACAGTAGAATACTGCGAGATCTAATTGAAGAAGACTATAAAGAGAAAGAAGAAGAAGATCAAAGTGGCTTTAGAGCAGGTAGATCGTGTACCTACAACGTATTTTGTATAAAACAAGTCATAGAGAAGAGATCTGCTAGACATCTGGAAACCCATCTTACCTTTGTGGACCTACAAAAAGCATATGATACAGTCCCAGTATCGAGACTGTGGAAGGTATTAGAACAAACGAACATCAATCACAACTATATAGCTGCACTTAAAGAACTGTATGAAAATTCACAATCAAGAATTAAGATAGGTAAAAAACTCACAGATGCCTTCATAGTGAATAAGGGACTACGACAGGGATGTCCTATCTCTCCTACACTATTCAAAATATATGTAGCAGCGGCACTTAAGAACTGGAAAAGGAAAATACACGGAATGGGTATAGAGATAGATGACAGATACCTGTTTACTCTTCAGTTTGCAGATGATCAGGTCATAGTGGCCAATGACAAAGACGACATGCAATATATGATTAGAAAGCTGATAGAAGAGTATGAGGAATGGGGCTTGACAGTTAACGTAAATAAAACGAAATATCTATGTGTAGGCTCTCAGAGCGAAAATTTGGAGTTGGTCAACGGTTAAGAAATTCTGCAATGTCAAGAATATGAATATTTAGGTATCACATTCGACAATACCGGAACAAATGTGAAAAAGATAGAAAAACGAATAGTTACAGCTAAAAAGATAATAGGATGTCTGAATGGCATCTTGTGGAGCAAGGAGATAATAAAAAGGAGAAAATTTAATATATACGAGACAATGGTTAATTAAGAGCAGCCTATTGTATGGAGCGGAAACATGGAGAATTCCAGACAGACAAAAAAAGAAGTAAGAGGCAGTCGAAATGGACACAATTAGAAGATCTATGCGAGTCTCACCAAGAGAAAGAATGAGGAATGACCATATAAAACAACGAATGGGAATAGAAGGTACGATAATTCAGGATATCGAAAAAAACAACTTACCTGGTACGGACACGTAGAGCGAATGCAAAATACTAGATGGCCCAAAAAAATACTGAACTGGACCCCAATAGGGAATAGAAAGCGAGGAAGACCCAAACTAGAGTGGCAGCAAAACATAAAAAAGTCAATGAGCGAACGGAATCTATCAACGGAAGATTGCCACGATAGAAGAGGATGGAAGTTAGGTGTCGGACAACGGAGAAGGACGTTCTAAACCGGCATATATATGAATGGAATGATCATATAAGCCAAACGACCACAAACAGAGTAGTAAAGACGGCAAGAGACGATTCCCCAATAGCTAGACGATCAGTAGGAGGCCCAAGTAAACGAGGTAAGGACAACTTACTGAAGGCACATTGAAAAACAGACAGTGTCATGTCTACATAAAAAAAAGAAGAAGAAGAAGTAAACTTAAGATGATTTTATTAACGACGCTGAAATAACTTTCTTATTAAAGAAAAATACAGCACATTATCATGACGAAATGGATAGACCCCTTAAAAAGTTGAATTAAAAAAACTTTTTCCGAACATTCCCCACAAGATTACTAAGAAGTAAATTTAACATACACTATGCTTGAAGGTACCGTTGCTCAGTACTGGTAGATTCTGAGCGGGGTCGTTCATAGAAGTGAGAAATATACGAAAGTATAGATACAATACAACAAAGAAGAAACAGGAAAAAGAACAGTTCTTAAAAAAAGGCGCAACTCTTTTTCAATGTTTAAATCCCAAAAAAATAGAAATGATATATTCAGAAAACAGAGAGAAAAATGCAAATAACATTAAAATAAAAGATAGTAAAATTCACTATATTAAAATATGAAATGTCATAAATATCGCAAAGTAGTCGAAGAAAGTAATCAAATAGTCTTTAAATATCATATCAACTATCCATAAAGTTATATATCATAAACCACATGAAAAATGTCTTACTAACATAAGTTCTCTTTTCCAAGGATTAACTCTGTTGAAAATGAAACAAAACATACAATTAAACGATAAATAGGCAAAAAGAACAAAAATCTTGGTTTAAACATGATTAAAAAAGAGACTGCACAAAAATATTAATTAGCATTAAGTAAATATTTAATAATAAAAAATTAAAATAAAATATACATATAACTAAAGATTTTAAGTAAAAAATTTATAATCGTAACTATATTCAGTCGGTACTATATATTAGTATATCACTTTCTTAACTCAAAAGTATCATCACTTGAATCGGCTGAGAATAAGCACAATAAATAGATAAACTGTTAATCAGAACAACTGGATTTTGACCTCGGCACCAGCCGAATCTTAAATAAATGGGGGCTCCATACTAGATGCAGAGGAATTAGGATTTCCAACGAAACAAATTTGGATTCCTAACGGGACAAATTTGGTTTTCAACGGGATAAAAATGAATTTTCAACAAAAAAATCTGGGAGTTCCAATGGTAAAAAGATGGAATCCCAATGGAATACACTGGGACTCCCAATGGGATAACCTGGGACCCTAATTAGATAGAGAAAATACAAAGTCCAATATGCGACAAACTTGACAGGGGTCTAAAAACACAATTAAAACTTCCCTTACATCTTGATGCACGGAGTAAAATGAAAAAAAAACTCGAAAATATATGCATTTTTATAGAAAAATATTTCAATAAGTAAATGTATCGTTATTTGGTGTTTTCGAGGTGGTCGAAATAGACAGTACTTTAGATGACCTAACGGTATATTTTTCGATAGCTTCTTTAAGCTGATTAAATAGAATACAAACACCGTACGGCATTTTATGATAGTACTAAAGCGGTTTTTCGATAAAAGCTTTAAAAGAATTATTTACTATATTTGCAAACAAAAGTCAACTGCAAATTAGTCAAAACAGATAGGTGTTAATTGAACCTGTAACGGGAT